GTGTGTCCACTGCATACCTGCTGCATGCCTGCTGCATTTCACTCCCATGCATCAGTTCACCAGGGGTGCACCTCACACACTTCCAGCCACCTCTGGGAAGCCACACTGCTGTACTTGGCTGGCCACCTCAATGTTTGTGCTGAGGCCAGGCCTCCTGCAGGCTGTTCCAGTAGTGACTGAGTGTGGCAGGCCCAGCAGGGTCCCCGAGGCAGACTGTTCCTAGGAGACCCAGGACTCCCCTGACTTAGCAGACTTTGGCCCCAAGAGTCCCTGATTGCCAGGCCAGTAAGGTCCCTCCCAGTCCTTTCCTTTAATAGGTACATCCCCTATTAAAATCCTTGCATGTTGAATCCTATCTTGCATCTGCTTCTCAAAGGCCCCGGGCTAAAACAGTGTTCACGGTATACATAATCAGCCCCATTTTACAGGTGAGGAAACTGAGGCCTGGTGATAAGAAAGTCCTTGCCCTAGAGCTGCTGTGCCTCCCTCCCTGTCCCCTAAAGTGAGGGCTGCGGGTGGGCAGGCGTTTTCACAGAGACACTTGTCTCACTCTGTTTGGTCCCCAGCTCCACATGGGCCCTGATACAGAAGCCGATGTCCTGACCGAGTGTCTGGCCCTGCAGCAGCTCCATGTGGCCACACAGCTGGCGGCCAGTGACGGGAAGGGCGGCCGAGCCCCGGGCCAGGAGCTGCTCCCAGGTATGTGTGGAAGGAGGGAGGGCCAGGGGCATAGGAGCAGAATAGGCTCCAGGACAGCAGTGACGCTCCATAGGCAACTCTTGTGGGGCAGCCAGCCACTTGTCTGGAAGCAGCCACCTCTCCGCTGCTGGCTCCCTATTTCAATCCACCTTCTCTCTGCTGTTCATGGAGCCAGGCAGGTGTTCCTTCACACTCACCTGCAGCTCCCCGCTGCCTTAGGATGAACCCTGCACTCCTCAGCCTGGCCTCCAATACCTCACAGGGCCTGGGCCCCCCTGGTGGCCTCCTGCCCCCTTGACACATTAGATGTAGTCCCCTGAATACTCTCTGCTCCTTCTTATCCCCAGGCCACTATCCTCCTTCAGGACCCACCTCCTGGATCCTTCCTGTTTCCCCTATGTCCCCTGCTCCAGGACAAGGCCTCCTCCCAGAGTCACTGGTACCTAGCATGGGGACATATGTGGAGCGGGGCTGGGTGAACGTTTGGCCCTGCCCC